CAGCAGCAGCAGCAGCAGCAGCAACAGAGCTCAATTTCAGCTCAGCAACAGCAGCAGCAACAGCAACAGCAGCAGAGCTCGATTTCAGCTCAGCAGCAGCAGCAGCAGCAGCAACAACAGCAGCAGCAGCAGCAACAGCAGCAGCAGCAGCAGCAACAACAGCAGCAGCAGCAACAGCCACCATCCCAGCCCACTCAACCTCTATCCAGCCAGCCTTTGATAAGGCCACCCTTATCACTTCAGCAAAAGATCCTGCTTCAGAAAATGCAAAATCAACCCATAACAGGACTGGGGTATCAAGTCTCCCAACAACACAGACAGGTAAGGGTTCTACTACTACAAACACAGAGTTCCTAGAGTTTAGCTTGATCATTATGCTTTGGTTACCATTACATTTGTATTGGGACAAGATCAAGACCAAAGACAGCAGTGAAGATGAAGACCTCATAAAACCTTGTTCTTTGGGGTACATGGAGGCAAGGGCTGGTATATCCTTTTAAAGCATTACTGCCATTGGAGCCTATAGTGATCAAAGATGCTTGGTTATTAAGAGTGTTGCATTAAGAAACAAAACAAGAAAAGAATGTTGCATTATAACATACCTTTAGTGACATATCCAGTTGTCAATCAGATTTTGATATGCCCATTGTTCGTTTATCCAATCAGTAAATCAGTGATTAAGTCAATATGCACTTCCTAAGTACCTACCTTGTACAAGATGTTGTAATTATGCTGAATATTAGAATAAAGCTCAAGGCAATATTTAGAGTATTAAATGACTGGTCTACTCCTAGACCAACCAACTAGAACATCTAAATGCCCAACGCATCATAATAGATCCTGGTATGACTCCATGTAGTACATATGGGCTGAAAATCAGCCCTACATAAGACGTGACCCCTATCTGCAAGCAGTCTGGAGAGGGAGACAGACTTCAGAAACTCTCCTTTTAATACTAAGTGGAAAGAGTAACAATATGAGAACAAAGAGGTTGAGTATCTCACCCAGCAAGGGGAAATCAAGAAAGACTTCTGGAGAAAGTAATGCCTAAGTTGTGTTAAAGGATGAAATCACCATGACTGTAGAGAAAAAAAAAA